TAGAAACGAACGAATCAAACCCACGACCACGTTTATAGAGGTATCTTAAGGTGTGGATTTCTTTAACTTGTATATTGTTGTAGAAATAGTGTTTAATCAATTGTAAGTAACATATATCACATATTAACAATCATCAGTATGTTATCCCAGTGTCTAAATAATTAGTTAAAGTAGCCAAATGGTTTACACGTGTCGGCAACCGTTTGTAATGTGTCCGGCATACTGATGAAGCCTCTAACGTTCTGTGAACGCATTCCTTTGCTGTGGCATGGCGCCTCTGCCACTATGGTCATAACTAATATTCTGCCGGTTATTTCTTAGAATCAACATAATGTACATATAATGGATATATTAAAATGAAGAGGGATCCAACTACTTAATCCTAAGTCAGTGTTGTTGGTGTCTAATTGTTAGCTATTAAAATCGTGTGTAATCGTTATCGTGTAGGAAAAGTGAGAGTCGGACTAAGTAAGAGATTTATAAAAAGGAGAAAAATACGTTTAGTCTATAGATATACATATTATTATATACCCTTAGTAATCACGTTTTAACTTAATAAAAGAATGTTTTTGGTATAAGTATTCTCGTCTTATTTTAATAAAACACTTCCATCGGTGTAATTTTTATCTTTACCACTTAAATGTAATGATATATAATAATAATTTGGAATTTTAAACCGTTTAGTGTTTTATTGAGCACAAGTTTTTCAGTTATTTGTTGTTATACCTAGCAACTACGCGTACGTAATGTGTGTGAGAGATCTCCAAATACGAAATACGACGAAATAGATGGCGCTAGCGAAGCAGATTTGACTTTGACATTAGGGACACCCTCCATCTTCAGTCTCTCTGATGGGTAGTTTAAATAAATAAAAATAGTCTTTTTTTTAAGCAACATTAATGAATCTGTGAAAACTTATAAAACATTGCTTCCGTTCATATCATATCGTCCAAGAATAGTTAAGCGACGAGCCATGTCAATTCTAATTCTTCTAGAGACGGAGTAATGACCGGATAAAAGTTAATGACGTTAGTGGCCGTATTAAATATAATCCTGAGGATTCGCAGCGGGCTCTTGTAACGCTGTATCTCGGGAAATGGTTGTACTCGTCGTTCCAGTTCTCCCACGTCCAGCCGAGAAACTCCCACAGTCAGTGCCTCAACATGGCCGTTGAACTGCTACCATTACACACCCCTCTCCTTTCACTTTTCACGATATACCCACAAATCGTATAAAAAGTCTGGTGAGGCAATTAAAAAAATAATGAAAAGCAATTTAGCTTTTTTATCGCTTAGCGTTGATGATGCGTACAACTTGACTTGCAATTATTAAACCTCGTTAGACGAGATTCTAGAGGAGCAACGGTATATTCATGGTTAATGAATACTTGTCGCGAAGATATCTCTTGACGATGTTAAATATAATCATTTGGAATTGCTCGGCCGTATTCGCGCAACGGCACTTGACCAGCTAGTATGACATATAAAGGAGGTGCGTTCAAACTAAAATGATTTAACAATACAGTATTGTGTCTGCTGCCAGCTATATTTCAATATCGTCATACAGACATGCAACGCTCGCGTGTAACCAGTAAATTATTATTAAACTATCTAATTGAATACCTATGTATTAAAATACAGTATATTGGCGCCGGAACTGCGCGTGATGTGCCTAAATGCGAGTGATATTTGGTTTGAATCCCGGGAAAACCCATTTTCAGTATTGTCCGTATTTTACGCGAGTAGTACACAGTTCTATAAAAAACTTTGAACAATTTAATTGATGCTTTGCAGCAGCTGGGATCGCGGGGAGAACATCCGAAACGTCGGGCTTTGGTTAAAATAAATTGTATACAAATTAACGCCAAAGGTAAACCGGTACATTGCACATTTGAAACCGTTAAAGGAGTTTTATTTCAAAGTTTGGATCAGTCGGAAGTCTGTTCAATATGTAAATAAGAATAATTAGTAAAAAGGTTGAGTCTGTACCTTTCCCCATGCCCTACGGGCAAAATATATTACACTTATAATGACGCAAAACTTTATACCAGTTACAAGTTTATTAGCTTTAATGAAATTTGAGTCTTAAAAAAAGAACTCTGTCTATATTAATGTAACTGCTTGCGAAATCAAATATTTTAAGACATTTCTATGTTTCTTCCATCCTATCATTAATACGACAATTTACCCTTACTTAGTGCATAATACCTGGGTCTATTTCGTAAATAACGAATCCCAAAGTTGGAAAAACAAAAGACGATCTTGAATATTTCTTAGATAATGTCATGAATTATTGCCCCATCCTAAGTACGCTTGATCAATATCTTAGAACAACATCGCTTACAAGATGCAACACTCCCTCGGTTAATAGGAAGAGAAGTGTTTTGCTTATAATTCTAGCGCTGCGTTTCCGAGCTATTTGTGGCCACTTGTTTAGTCGACTGGCCCTTGATATTGATTGTATGTAGGCGGTTTTGTAAACTATAATCGGCGTCTGCGCTGTATTCGTTACTAACTCCGGTATATATTTATATAATAGTTATTTTGGGCATCATATAATTTACTAGCTGTACCAGCGACTTCGTCCGCGAAAATCGTTATTTTGGGCATCCAAATTAGGTTTTGCAAACCCCGTCACTTTATAATCTTAAGCTGTTAGCGACGACATCGATCGCGTCCCTTTCCTGTCGTTGCAAGCTAATCTTAAAAGATAGACATATAGTGTCGCGGACTTTTTTTTCAGATCATTTAAAGAGGAATAATTCTTTGTTACCCATTTTTTTAGTTATCTTGAACTGTTTTCGCAGAGATATAAAATTTCCCCCGTTTTGTTAACTATTCACGCTGTATCTTCGCTTCTATTAGTCACAGCGCGTTGTTTTAGCGAGCCTATAGCCTTCCTCGATAAATGCTCTAACCAACACAAAAAGAATTTTTCAATTCGAACTCGTAGTTTCTGAGATTAGCGCGTTCAAACAAAGAAACTCTTCAGTTTTATATATTAGTATATATTTTTGCAAATAACTACCTCATTAAAAATAACTAGCTGAGCCAGCGACTTCTTCCGTGTGGAATAGTTATTTTGGTAATCGAAATTGTTTTTTGCAAACTTCATCCCCATATTTATAAAGTTATCGCTGTTACCCACGACGTTGGCCGCGTCTCGTCGCTCTTACAAGTTAATTACAAAATATTTTTTTTAGATCATTTAAAAAAATAATTACTCATTCCTTCATGCTTCTAGTTTTATGAGAATAAAGATTAATATTTTTCACATTTCCCTCTGTTGGTTGCAGCCTGATGTTTTATAGCCTAAAGCCTTCCTCGATAAATGTTCTAACCAACTCAAAAATTGTACTAGTACTTCCTGAAATTAGCGCGTTCAAACAAACTCTTCAGATTTACAATATCTATACTTATATATTATATAGATTGAATCGTAAAGAAATCGGACGGAAGTTCGCTGTAGCGTTCATGGATCCACAAGGCTGGCTATAACGCCGTAAAGTAAATAGCGAACAAAAACAGCGGGTTCTCACGATCATAAATTAATTGTTACTGCAGTATAAGTATTTTTAGCATAAGCGATTAAACTGTTGATTTAATTCTTGATTCAGATTTAAATTTATTTCTTTTACTTTATGACACGGGCGGGACTCGAACATAAGACCTCGATCGCACTATGCGATAGTTAAATTGTTACCTGATGGGCACGTTCTAGCCCTGGACATGTCTTCCATTTCAAGATTTAATTAATATACATATAGTGAACCCTATGCTTGCTAACATGTTTTTAATTAAAACTCTTAACGGTTTTAAACGCGAAAAATATTGGTTAAACCGTCCGCGACCACGATTGCTGCTGTAGTTAAAATTAGTTGTAAATAAGTAATATATTACACGAAATAAGTATTGTATTTAATTGTACTACTCGCGTAAACTACAGACAACTCTTAACATATGTTTTGCCATACCTTATGAAATTTCTTGTACTTGTATTTGATTTCAGAAGCATGTTTGCATTCAGGACAGACAACGATTGACTTTATTAGGTAATTTGCGTAGATAAGGTAACCTATCTAAGGCTGCGGTCTCATTCTAACGCTTTTCATCGCTTCCTATTATAGAAATGTACGATTGTTGTCTCTTTATATTGGTTTCAAATAATTACAACGAAAATTGTTTATCGTGCCTTAAGATTGAATGTTCACTGATTCATACATTAGTGACACGACGTAACGCGTTACGCGATTACCAATAGGAGACCACAGCCTAACTGATAGTAGACAGAGAGATGTCGTTGCACTCATCTAATCGCACGAGAGTCAAGGGCGGACGCACCGCGTTGTCGTCTTGATGTTTAGTTGACAGAGACGTCAAAGTCGCGTGCGCTTCTATATACGCAATCGTGTGGGAAAGAAATGTAATAGCAGGTAGTACTCTCAAAAGGTAGAGAATTACATTTGCTTAACAATCGTAGAAAAGAAATCATCTTGATGATTATCTTTTAACATATTCAAGCTACAAATAGATCCAAAGAAATAATTTTATTAATTTAGCTCTTGGAGGTTCAATGTTCGGATCCCAGGAAAACATCGTAAAGGGTTTTTATAATTGAGTTGGATTCAGATGAAGCGATCATTCAAATGAACGGATACGGATCTTTTCTTTTACGTATGTTTGTCCCTCTCTTCCATCCTACCTTCTATGTGCTATTCCTCTCTCGTGGGAGTTAAGACAAAAAAAAATTAAAAATACCGATGTTAGATTTTGTCCTATCCACGCTTCGAACCGTGCACCTCTCGATGTGCAGTCGAGTGCACTATAGCTATAAAGCTAAGCGATGTTTGGTACAATATTTATGACAGTAAATACGCTCGATGTGTGATCATTGCGGTTATCATGACTCTGCGTCAGTTTCCGTCCAAGTTAACTATCGTGATCAACTTCCTCCTGTTATTATGCTCTGGGTTATAAAAGTATTGTATTCTTTGTTTGCAGGATCAATACGATAACTTAGCCGCCCACACCCACAAGGGGATAGAGTTCCTAGATAAATATGGCAACTTTGTCAAGGAACGATGTGCTATAGAACTGGAATACGCGGGGAAATTAAGGTAAGTCGCTCTGTGGTACCACTGACAAAATTAGATTAATAAGTCTAAGACCCCGTGAAAGAACATAAATTTGGTTGAGTTAAATGTTTCTTAATAAATGCTATTCGATGAAACTCATGTAAAGAACGTTTTATGTATGTCTACTACAAGCTTGGACTGAGTTAATCATTTTTAATAAATTGTGTAAGGTTTTCGCGGTCATCGTTCAGCATATCATTGTTTTTCGGGCTGTTCGGTCGACTTAAGCGATAGGGTGTAGGTACTCGATGTTTCGCCATCACGAGCGCACGGCATCTTCAGGAGATGTTGTTAGCTCCTCGATTGGTGGAAGAATTATGATCATGATTCTTCAAGCGGCCTCAAACGACGAAAACTTCCTTTGGCTTACGTCGCCCGAAAAACAATAAAATGTTAATAATTTTTCTTAATATTTCATGTGTAACATGAAATATCAAGTATTACACACAACGCCTTGTAGATAAACGTTTATAAAAAAGAAAGCTGAGCGTGCTTTCTCTCCGACGTTTGGTGAAAAACAGCTCGTTAAACAATAATTAAATAACTGAATGGTCTTACATAAGAACATATAAGGATAAGCCACGAAAACCTGTATCAATAGATTCGTATTCAAAGTGGTTTTGACTTTCACTGAATGCCGAATCGTATATTTAAAATAATATTCATAAATTACAGCCATTAGAGCAAATAAATTGTGTAATTAAGCAAATGGTAGTCATTTGCATATTCTGTTTTATTGTTCGTATTGATCAAATATTTACGATGTTATTCTTTACTAGCTCTGCCAGCGACTTCGTCCGCGTAGGAGAAGAGTTATTTTGGCATTAAAGCTAGATATTTAGTCTCGCGGACATTTTTTTTTTTTAAATTACTTCTGGAGGATGTATTAAACAAATACATATTTTTTGGGTATCTTGAAACGTGTTCGTAGTGCACGTAACAGAAACCATCCAAGATAAAGTTTCCCTGTTTTTTTTTTACGTTTCCCACTGCTTCTGCGCGTCTGTTGTTTGCAGTGTGATTCTATATAACCTATAGCCTTCCTCTGTGCTCTAACCAACACAAAATTTTGAAGTTCGAACCAGCAGTTCCTAGACTTAACACGCTCAAACAAAAAAAATAGATAGGGTTGAAATTCCACTTGTAAGTTATAAGTTGTAATCTTTCTTTCAGGAGACTTGTAAAAAACTATCAACCCAAAAGAAAAGAAGAAGATGAATACCAGTAAGTATGAAAATAAACTCGTGTACATTTGGAGACTAATTGAATTAAAATTAATCGCGTTATACATTCATAGAGCTAATATTAGTTGTCTCTTTTTCTCCAATACTAAAAACATTTGTTTGACAAGGACAACTTATGCACTACATCTGTAAGGCCAACTTATTAGGCTACGTTTGACATATTAAAACTCGACGGTCCAACATTGAAGGGAAATTATTTCCTTCTTATTGTGCTTCGAAATAAGACTACTTTATGATTCACTTTGACATAATGTAAGTCAAGTGTGGCTATTAATTTACTCTTACAAAAATTAAGTGTTATTTTATGCTAGAGGAGGACAGACAAACTTAGGCCTTTCTTGATGATAGGTAAAATACCCCAGCCACATAACATCTAAACAAATGCGCTGTTGACTTATTTTTGGCTTTGGATATTCGGAAAACCACAATTAAACTTTACGCCTTTTTCATCTTTGAACGGTGGTCGGAATTTCGATTTTCCTACCACCCATTAAATATCCAGATAAAATATAAAAACTATAAATTGATTAGGAAAATGTTGGACCCGCGTAAGGTCGAACCCACGATCCATTGAATATTAGCTAAACATTATTACCGTTACACCAACAGCCCGTCAACCGTTTCACTTCATTTGTGACCTATTCTTACAAAATTTCTTCTTTAGGTATACACCGTGCAAAGCATTCAAAAAGTTACTTCAAGAACTGGGAGACTTCGCGGGCCAACGCGAAGTTGTAGCGGAGAATTTACAGTCGAACGTCGTACGAGAGTTGCACTTGCTCGCCAAAGAGTTACGTGAAGAAAGGAAGGTCAGTAGCTCTATATAATTAGCCAGCGTAATTAAAAAGCCACTTAAAAATGAGGCCGCTAGGGGCAGAGTAGCCTAACTGCCATTTTACAACTTGGAGTTATTTATATTTTCATAGTCTAAAAATGTTAATCTACAAGAAACCGAGCATTGTAAACATAATGCTTAAATAATAGTACAAATTCATTTTCGCCTAAGTTATACACATTTATATTTTCCTCCTTATTGAAAATTTTGTTTATTGTTATTGGACCATTCTGCCTCAAATAGTCTAGTTGTTGCGTTTTAGTAGACCAATAAGAAGTTTACTACCAGTTATCTCAACTTAGTGTTGATTAGCTTGCTTTGGTCTATACACGAGCCGTTATATATATATGTCAAAGTATACAATACAGTCTAAGTGTAAGACCCCGCCATATAACAATTTGAGAGTATCCGCAGACTAAAAACGCGATTAAAATCTTATCATCGGACGGCGGTTCGGACCTGGACGGAATTTTAGTATTGGAAATATTTCCCATCCAATTAGTATCCAGATTGCCAGACGCAGATTAACTTGTTTCAGTTATGATCAGACTTATGTGCCAGATCAAACTATTTAATATTTCCCTTGAATCGAACTCAGGACCTTCGTACTTAGTGCTAGGAACTTTGTTTTATCATCAAGCTATAGAGGCGGTCCAAATTATCTTACATCACACTTAATTGTTCTCGTGATCTTTTGAGTGTCTAGCGTATTAAACTCGACATCTTAATCAAATGAGCTACAATATTAGGAACGTGGCCTATACATATATGTACATAACTATGTGAGATAAGATAATTACTTGACATCATTAAGACATTCCTCTTACAATACTTACTAAATATATAAATGATTGTATATCCACACTAGCTGTGTCAGCGACTGCGACCGCATATAATAGTTATTTTGGGTATCCAAATGTGTTAATATAAATAAATCAAAACCTATATAATTTAAAAATGGAAAATAAATAAAAAGAAGTCGTCAGCGATCCGTGCTGTTGCTCTGTGGAACTTCTTGCGAGTTCTTCTTAAAAGATAGACATATACTGTCGCAGACATTTTATTTTATCATTTAAAGAAGAATCATTCTCTCATATATATTTTTTGTGTATCTTAACCGTTTTGGCAGCGTACGCTTCGGAAACTCATTCGGATGAATAGTATCCCCCGTTTTTTTAACATTTCTCTTTGTATCTTCGCTCCTAATAGTTATAGTGTTTTATAGCCTATAGCCTTCCTCGATAAATGCTCTAAACAACACAGATAATTTTTCAATTCGAATCAGTAGGTCCTGAGATCAGCGCATTCAAACAAACAAACTCAGCTTTATTATTACGTATGGAATTCCTAATTTAAAAAAATATACTTGTCAACTACAAGCTTATGTACTACATTCCGAACGTTTTCCCATCAAAAACGCTGACTAATTTGTGAATTGGAAATCTGCGGTTTGCTCCACTTGTACTTACGTCAGTGTTGCGAAAAGGAAACTAAACAAAGCTGAAACACTTGTTATTCGGCCTTGGCATTCATTGCAACGCTTAATAGGAATGCGCTAATAGTAAACGCTCACGGCCCGCCCGCCATCAATTCATTTAGCCCAAAATTGTTACTCTCATTTACGTTTGCAAAATAGTTGGCAAATAAACTAAATTAATGATATTAAAAATAAAATCTTATTGAATGAATATCATTAATCGAAGATTCTTCGAGCAATCGAGGAGTTAACATCTTCTGATGATGCTGTCCGCACGTGATGGCGAAACGTCGAGAGCCACTTCTCGCTCACGCCCGAAAACAATGATATGCTGAACGATTGCCGTGAAAGCCTCACACAATTTATTATCTTTATTGACTTACTCCGTGGAGCAGAAAGTTGTTATTGTCTGTGGTATTGTTATACCTATATTTATATTAATATTTACTATAATTGTTTTTAGTTTTATTATACACTAGTCTAATTTTAGGGAAAATCTTTCTCATGAGGCAGGACACAATATATTTGAGTGTTAAAATTATTAGTCTACTCGGTACAAAACCAACGATTTTTTAGCTGTTCGGCCAAAATATGATATAAAATTATTAATATAATTTTTTATATATATTAATAACGAAGTGCACTAAATCACTGTTCTGACGTGGCAAATTCTCGGGATCCTACAATGTCCCTCGTACAAATTTCAGTTTAAAATGTGATACAAATACTGTCTGAAGTAGTACAAATTTAAATAAAACACTTTAACGGTTTTTGACGCGATATATATTAGTTAAACTTATTGGTTTAATTCTATATTAGGGTCTGATAAGAAGGTCCAATAAGTTTACAATTTTTTCTGGCTAGGTAGAACAATTACCGCAATATTTCCTTAAAAATATTCATATTCTAGGAAGAAGTATCATTGAAGCCGACGTCGAGACCATACGTTTGTGTGAACATATAAATAGCTAACTGAAATGAAATATTTTAAAGAAAAATTAATTAAATAGAAACGTGTACATTTCAGCAACATTTGAACGAGGGTGCAAAACAAATGGCTGTGTTGAACACGGCCGCCGGTGCGCTGGAGCGCGCGCGGAGGGCATACGAGCGTGCAGCCAGAGAGTCGGAGCGGGCACTCGAAGCCTTCCAGAAGGCGGACGCGGACTTCAACCTCAGGTCGGTTCCGATTCAATTGCATTAACAGGGTTCCGTCAAAATTATTACGTTAATTTTAATAGAAGGTAGCCAGGAAGGTTCTAAACATCCCAATACCCTCTTGAAAGCACCGTAGCGGGCTGGTGGTGTGTTTAGTGGTTCTGGTCGGCTGTTGTCTCCGAGTTTTACACCATCAGTAAAAAAAGGGAGATTCTAAACATGAATTAAAAATTTACTTAATTATATATTTATTGAGCTACCGAGTCAATTGTTTGTTGAAGATGATCCACAGAGCTGTGAATTCCGGTTCAAGGTCCGCCCGTGTCCTATTTTTTTTTCAATCCCGATAGACTTTTAATTTATATAATACCAAGTTTAGTTGCAAAATGATATTAAAATCGGACTAGTACATAGGCGCAGGGTGATTTTTCGTATTACATATAAAAAATCACTAGCATGAATGACAAACGTTGATAACTGCAGAGTTCGTCGTGTATATGAAAAAAAAAACTTTAATTTTGAATATTGATTTTAATTCATGTAAATTTTGTTATTTTGACTTTAGATGTTCGGAGAACAAGTCAATCTTGTTTTTAACTGTATTGACATTCTTAGCTGTATCTACAATAGTTGCAATAATAAATGATTTTTTTTTTCTTTGATGCTGCATTCTCTACATTGCCTTCATAGTTGCATGAAATTATTATAGCAATAACGTGGAATGTATCAACTTTGTCACGGAAACGTTAATCTAGCCAGTACAAGCCATATCATTACGTGCGTATTGAAACTGCCGTTCGATTGTGTGCTCTTGGTATTTCTGAGATACCATACTAATCGTTGTGGCAGTTTCTAAAGATTTCCTAACGAGTCATTGCTAAAGATGGGATGAAATTCGGGTCACATTCGGTTTAAGTGTAATCTGACGATTGGGTAATCAACCGACATTCGGCTTGGATTTATAAAGGACATATTTAGAGAAATTTACACAAACACCCAGACATTAAATAATAATATGCATCCCGTAAGGAAATTTGGAGTTGAGTTTTTGTTGTATTTGGGTGTTCGAAGCAAGCTTATCCACTTGTATCAGAAAATCACAATGAAAAATAAATAACTCGGTATTCTTATTACATAAACAAATGGCAGACATTTATGCCTCATAATAATATACATAATTACTACATACTATGCTTTAAACTTAGAGATTTTTACCGTAACCGAATTTCGGATTCGGACAATCTACATTGCGGCCCATCTCTTCACATTGCTATAGAAGCTACTATGCACGTATATATCGATAACATATTTTAACCGACATACAGTAACGAGCGTTTAAAGCGACACTACATTACATGTACATGATGACTGCACTCATGGGTGAATATTAAACAGAGGGTGGGTTGTTTCAAACTGACTTACGTTAAGAAAACTGCGGTTAGTTATACGATAAATTCTCTTTATGGCTGAAAGTGATTACAGACATAATGACCTTAGTAATATATCAAAAGTGAAATCCCGTTTCATCTCGTGGGGCATGGGGCGAACACATTTCTGCGTCCGTTTCACTGATCGGTTTTTAATTAAGGGCAAGTAGTTGATTAGGCTATAAAATAAGTTCTGTTTCCCCGGGTTTCGAACCCAGGACCTCTCGCGCTTAACACAATGCTAGGCAGCACGTTGAACCAGTGAGCTACAGAGGTTGTCAGTAATAATATATCAAAGTTATTTAGATAAAAAAATGAACGGTGCCATTTTTAAAATTTACGTATCAATTAAATACGGTTGAAGCAACTCGTCCTTAATAACTCGCGGATTCCCGCAGGGCGCTGACTCCGACTTCAGGTGAATTAAAAGAGGATTTTTTTTACTCGCTTCATGTCTGCACTTGACGTGCTCACCATAGCAACGGTTATTTCGACTGCACGAGGAGATTTTAGCTCTCTGGTTTTATATTCTGTAAAAACATTTTGTATACTCTGTGTCTCTTACCGTTAGGACCGGTAAGACTTTAATGTCTAGGCGCTGGGACAAAATTATATGTGTATAAAATGAAAGTAAGACATAGAGAAACATAGTAAATCGACGTCGACAGGTGTAATCAAACAAACAATCAAAGGGCGAATGTGATGTATAAATTGTTTATTTAAAAAATATTATTTTTTACTTTTAATAACTTCGATTTAGCAGAGCCACATAATATCTGTACTACGACTATCTGTTGTTTTCGGCAAATCGCTGAGTCTTCCTTTTTTTAGGCCATTAATACTTTTATTTGAGTGTGTTTTTTTTGTGATAATTACATTTCTTTTAATCATACGCGTATTATAAAATGAAATATAATATCTACGATATGGCACGGTACCGCAATTCGTTAGGGCATCAGTACGGCACGCTGTGGGTGCCGGATCAAGTCTTGCCCGTGTCGTAATTTTTTTTAATATGTATAAAATCGTTTTTTAATTTATATAATTCCATCATGTAAAAAAATTGAAGTTTTTTAAGTGTAAGTAAAAAATATATGTTATATTTTCATTTAAATAACAAATCTAGACTTATTTTCATTATATGGAGTGTTGTAAATCGTACATTTGAACTTAAAGGAATACCAATGCTTCTGGTAGAGTTTATCAAGAGAGTCTACATGTTTCAAAAATCTTGCATCCACTCCTAATCGAACCCACGTCCCGTTGATTATTACCCGTTCTTAAACGAGCCAGAAAATATCCGTTCTCTCGCAATGACATCACCGCCGAAATGTTTACAATTCCAGATATTCAATTAAGCATTTGGTATGGCTGCCTTTAGTTCGTTTAGTTACTAATAAAGCAAATCTAGGCCGCCTGACACGTTATACGCTACAATGGGCTTAGCGTTGGCTTATTCAGCCGCAAGTCGACGTCTCATTGTTGAATGTCTAACAAAACCGCCGGAATGTGTACACGAGAATTTTAATACTCGCTGTACTACTGAATTTTTGTATTCTGCATCGGGTCGAATATTGTACTGAAATTTTCGTCCTAAATAAACGGCAAATATTTTATGTCGCTGGAATATTTCACCTTTCAATTGTTTGTCGTAAAAAAAAATTTTGGTAGTCATACAACGTTATGTAATTATCTGTGTGAAATCCCTTTTTCCGCGTGGGGCATGGGACACATACATTTCTTTGTCCGTTTCTTTTACAGGCAGGTAGTTCGGTCTTCAGTCCCTCTCCTTACTGAAACCATTGCTTCCCCGGGTTTCAAACGCCGGAAGGCCGTCGCGTATAATGCAATGCTAGGCAATACGATTTACTATTTTACTATAGAGGCGGTCATCTATTTATTAACTTGCCATTAAAATCTTATATACCTAAAGTTTTTTTTATATTCTTCTTCTTTTATAAATGAAACCTGTTATGTTGGCTACAGTTCATTCAATAAAATATGTTTTGCTCACGTTTCAGTCGGGCAGAGGTCGAGAAACAGAAGACTAATATGAAACTAAGAAGTCAGGCGTGCGAAGATGCGAAACAAGAATATATGGACCAGCTCAGGAAAACGAACGAAGCTCAAAGACAACACTATGAACAAAGGCTGCCCCACGTCTTCAAACAGTTACAGGTAATGTTTAATTTGAATAGATATTTTTAAACATATGCATTCAGTGCTTCTTCCATTATTTTCTAAATGAAATGCACTTAACGAGTTTTATTTCAAGTTCTATATAAAATTATGTCTAATTATAGCTGAATTTATGTATTTTTATCCTATCTACATCTTAAAGATTCTAAAACGACAAAATGATTTGCTAGTGCTCTTTAAAACAAAACGACAACTAACAAAATTATGTAGATATTATGTAATTAGAACCTGAATAGGTTTAAATACTGTCTATAGTACTGTCTCCCCGTGACCACGGCTGCTGCAAAGCATCCGAAACGTCGGGCCGAAATTAAAAATAATTTTCAAATAAGTAACGAATATATCGCGTTTTAAACCGTTAAAGTGTTTTATTTAACTGAATAGGTTTGTTAAACCTGTATGGTTATTGTGATCCATCTTTTAATATTTATTTGTACTGTGTTTTTTTTCATGTAATTAAAAAAAAATAGAGTCTAGGTTTGTAACTGTTGTAACGTTCATATATATCGTATCTATCTATAATAACCTACCTAGGTACCTATAAAATAAATGATTTTGACTTTAATTATTAAATTTATTTTATAAACAAATTCTCCAGCTTATTTCGGAGTTGAAAACAATCTTTATTGTTATTAAATCGTTTATTACTTGTTGACTGAGTCGGTTTATTAAAAAACATTTTGCGACTTACATGATTTTAAAAATACATCATTGAGTACCACAGCCATTCACATTGGCGCGCGGCCAACTAGGTCGCGTGGAAAGCCAGAAATTGTAAAACAACTCTATTTTTGTATACAAATAAACTGGCTCGTAACACGGAGTGCTCTATACAACCTTTTGTTGCAGGACCTAGACGAGAAGAGAATAAAGAATATAAAAAATTTCATGTTAAGTTCCGTGGATGTCGAGAGGAAGGTATTCCCCATTATAATGCAGTGCCTAGACGGGATGGAACACGCTGCTAATAGTATTAATGAAAAAGATGTGAGTATTTATTTATATACAATAGCACCCCGAATGGTAGAAACGTATGGATCATAATTAAATTTTTAATTTTCCAGTCAAAGTCCAACATGCGTTCGACTGGAAATTTGGATACTTAGTGGGTAGTAGAAATATCAAAATTCCGTCCGCATCACTAATATAGTGTTAGAGTCAACGCCATGCTTGTCTGTCATAAAAAAATGTTTTTCCGCTAATCTCCATAAGTTTTCTTCACTTAAATCCCAATGAAGAAGTCACAGTTTCATATTACCTAAATATATAATTAAAACACTTTATATGAAAAAGGTATTTACATTTTGGCACAAGGCGTAAAGAATGGCTTAGGCGACTTGGATTAATCCGATAACGGTAAGTTCCAAGCCATACGAGGTCTTCAAGGCCGATTGAATGCCGCTGCCGCAAATCTACTTCTAATCCGTCGTAGGCAAGCATTAGGTTTTGTAACACTATAAATTACACGCGCAGTAAAAACAGACAATTTTAAGTGCTTGTTATTATGAATGAAATAATAAACATAGACGTTTGATGAAAAAAAAGTAATTCCGTCAAGATTCTAGTATTCTATTTAAACATTTGTAGAACAAATATCGGTTGTACTTTTTAATATTTTAGATCAAGTATTGTCATCTGACGGAAGTACAAAAAAATGTGTATAAAGTTTTCGCATAAAAAGACGTTTAAATAAAAATGGCGTTACTTATTAGTAGAGTAAACGTGATTCATTGGTTATTTTTATTATTTTATTAAAGCAAGGAAAATTATATTTCAGGACACACAGTTAGTGATAGAAAGGTACAAATCGGGTTTCTTGCCGCCCGAAGATTACCGATTCGAACCGGCGACGGGCGCGGACGCAACAGATTCTGCGCCGGCGCATCCCACACACAACCACCTCACGGCTGCGCGGGGCACCGTCTCGGGCAACAGAATCAAGAAGAGGGGTGGACTGCTTTCAATATTCAGCTCCAATAAGGTGAGATTTCTACGTCTAATATCCACAATTGGAATTAAACGTATTTATTTTATTCTATCTGTGCTTTCAAAGTCCACAGATAGTAAATTACCAACGAATTGATTGTCTTTGAACTGATTAAGGATAATTTTAGTTACATCAGGCTATGTTATATGCTTAATGGTTATAGAATATTTTTATGGTGTTTGGTTATGGTACTTAATGGGTTTATGTGTATTTAGTATTTATATTCAGCATTCTTACATAAACTCTAGATTTCTCTTTCCAAATAGGTCGCTTTGTTATTCAGTTATTGTTTTCATTTGATTTGAACTATATTTTATTAAAATATTATTTACGAAGAGTCTTATTGGTATTATTTTGAAGCCTTTTTTATTTATCTATTTATTTGGAGGTACTAATATGATTTATTTGTTACCCCCTATGATCCCTACCTAACACGGGTATAACAACCAATTGATATTATTGGCTGGCGGCTCCCGGTGTTTAACGGAAAAAGTAAGTCTACCCTCGGTTCGGGGACGTAAGTTACAAGCATGAGTTTTCACCCTAATTGTCCATACGTTTTCTATCACAACACCGACCAATTTGCTGCAATACGAACTCGAGTCTCTTAATGTTTATAGCACATTTGTGTAACCATTTTTGCTGACGCTCTCAATCCGTTACTGTGCTCCTCATTGGGTTACACCTTATTGTATCCAATGCCAAAGGGTCAACAGCGCATCTTGTCAAGATATTATATGGCAGTTTTTTCCATCAAGCGAACCCCATTGCCTATCTTCTATCATTAAAAAATCTATATTCACATACATTTTTGTTTGGGGGTAATTTTGTATATAGAGAACAATCTGAAACTTGCTTGTGAGAAATCGATGAGTGCAACGGACAATTAAATGTGTCTTCAACAGACCCCACGTAGGGGAAATGCCAACCATCATAATTAAGGCTTCATCATTACTATAATCATGTTTCCTCTGCTTAATTTCTATATGTATATAACACTAATTTTATTTGTTTGTTGTAATTTTATTTAATATTTGTTTGCCTCTGTTTCGCTCCCGTTACGGCTACAGAAGATTATCGAGGCGTGCAATTCGATCAAGGTCAGTTTGTGTGGCGCTTTGACGTTTGATAACATTCACTTTTCCACATGATTATTCTACTACTGGTCATAGGTTGCACTAGGACACTTAATTTATTAACAAGTGAAAAATTTGTCAAATAATTTAAAGTACCTCATTACTTAAACTCGATAGAGTAATCAATATTTGAAAAAATCTTGTCTGTAGGATGGTACACATTTAATAAAACACAATAACGGTTTAAAACGCAAACTATACAAGTTTTTTTAAATCATAATCAACGCTTCAAATGTTTAACAGCAGCGTCTTTTTTTCTCGTTTTAAACCGTTAATCGTGTAAATTGTTGTAAATTCAGATCGATTTAAAAATGTAATCTTATTTTTCCGGACTCGCGCGCAACTAGCAGATCGGATTTATAGTAAGCAATAAATATGGCTTGAATTCCATTAAAACTAGAATTCTTCTGTAGCCATTGATACCTGTTTACCTTCAGTGTTCTGTGTATTTTCTGTTGCTAAAACCTTTTTCTGTATTATTGCAATCTCGCTAATATGCTAACAACTAACTGCGGTCACACCACAAGCTAAATGATATGTTATATGTAAAACTCACAACTTATGATAATAAAAACACTCCTCCACTTATGTTTTTCGGTTGTTTATTTTTACAAAAATTGTACATGACATTCTTGCTTCTTTATTACGTGTTGATTAATATCATTGAAATTAAACAGAATAACATGTCGATGGACGGAAAGGAGGATTATTCAGACTTACCACCGAATCAGAAGAAGAAGAAGCTTCAAGCGAAAGTTATGGAATTAAACAAACAGGTAGATGTTTATTACTTGTGTATTATTTTTAATTATATATTTTTTTTTACTAAATTACCCAAAGACTTGTCAGACTTCGATAGGCTACCACATAAAACATGCTTGAAATAGGTCGACATCCCATCTTATTTAGCTGCTGTATGACTGGGGTGTGTCACCATTTTTGTTGTATGTTCCATATTCGTATACAAGGAGTTGCTCTCGTTTGTGTGCCCAACTCAAACTTGGCCGTGTTCTCGTGTTATTCCTCAAGGCTTACACAATATTACTATATTTCTAGGTTGCCCAAGAGCAAGCTGCAATGGAAGGGCTTATGAAAATGAAAGGTGTTTATGAGACGAACCCCACCCTAGGCGATCCTATGACTGTTGAAGGTATGATGTTTAGATAGACATATTATAAATTAATCATAAGTAGAATCAGGTCCTTTCAGACCGAGGAAGGGGAGACCCCGTCGTTCTCAGCTGGTGAAACACTATGGACAAAAAATTAAAAAAACTTTTTTTTTTATATCTCCATATTAATAAGGTACCGGAACACTTTAATTCAACTATTTTACAATTCTACCCTGATGCGATATTCAATAAATTAAAACAAATAACGGGTTAGTCTGGAAAAGAGGATATAAGAAATCAACACTAAAATGGTTTCTTTGTTTACATGCAAAGATTAAGAAGTTACACTGTTTAGTTGTTTCAACGCCTATGATTTAAACATACATAAAAAATTAAAAACCCTGCAGCGTTGCTAAAATCGAGTTCAAAAAAATAATTATGAAATATTGTTTCCAGGTCAACTGAACGAGTGTTGTGATAAATTGAAGAAATTAAAAGAGCAATTGCGCAAGTACGAAGTGTTGCTGGCGGAAGCGAACAACCAAGTGTGTGCGCCGCCCATACATCCTGCAGCCAGAACCAACGGAGCCGCCCCGAATCAAGCTACTAGGTACTTATATATTGTGTATTGTCTCAAGTTTACAATTGACATAAAATATGTTTATTTTTAAAAATTAATCAATGAGACGACATTTATCTAAAGCGAAATGTTTAATCACTTTTTTTGTTAAAATTCGTCAAACATCGGGTGCTTTCGGTCAATCTTCGTGCCGCTCGTGCGCCGCTCGAAAACCGATTAATTTATTAGTACATTTCTATGAACTAACTTTTGCTTCACGCATCAGGCGTTTTTACTCGTACCACATACAAGTTATATTAGCAGTGAGACAATCCTCAAACTTGACCACGGCTGCCGCAAAGCATCCGAAACGTCGGGCCGGAGTTAAGAATAATTTTCAAATAAGTTTAACTAATATATCGCGTTTTAAACCGTTAAAGTGTTTTATTTAATGTGTACTACTCGCGTAAACTATAGACAGTATCCTCAGATCTATTAAAATTCTGTTGAATTGTATGAATTTCTATCGCCACTCTGTATAGTCCGCGATAAAAAGCTTTCCACACCCACACATACTACCACCACACCACTACTGCACATGGAGAATTTTTTGAAACCCAGCTAGTTCCTGAAATTTTCGCGTTTAAACAAACTCTTCAACTTTATAATATTAGTAGAGATAAAAGGTTTTCTATTGTATTCTAAATGTATGCATATTTTATTTCAGTATCGGCTCGAACAGTGAATCTCTATCTCGGTCAGCATCCGAGTCGTCTGTGAGTACCGGAGGATGCGCGGGCGCCGGTAGTACGGCCGCCGGGAGCCGCGCAGCCGGTGGCTCACCAGAATCAGGACTGGGCGGGGAGCTCGCCGCCGCACACACTGACCACCATGACCACAATAATGACCACCACGACCACGACCATGACCATGACCACGACCACGACAATGATCACGAATCGGACTTCGATTACTACTACGAACCTGACCTGCAACCGCTTGGTTATTGCAAAGCGCTTTATGCTTTTGAAGGTAAATGTTTGATTGTAAACACTTCATAAATCAAGGTTCTCACAAAAAGTTTAGTGTTTCTTCGCAATTCCAAAACCAGGACCAGTCGTGCTTTACGTAACGTATATTGTTATCTATGTAAGAAATCCCCCTTTTTTCTACTTTTATAATACTTATCAAGTTTTTAAATACGTTTTTATCGTGTCCGTGATTGTAGAATATTTTTTTACTTTTAGCAAACGGCACGGGTTCAACAATGAGAATGGAGTGCGGCGAGAGGCTCCTGGTGCTCGAGACTGATGCGGGCGATGGGTGGACCCGGGTGAGGCGCCATCACACGCGTGAAGAGGGCTTCGTGCCGACTACGTACATTGCCACCACGCTCTACGCGGATGCGCATGCGCACTAGCTGGTACATTTATTGAAATCTATACTAATATGAATATCGTTGTTTTACTTACACAGCGTGAAGCTGACAAGAAAAGAAGACAGAATACGAACACATAGTCTAAGATATCGAAATATTTATTTAGATATTTTAGAGATTAGTCACATTTCTATAATTAGACCATATTTGATTCATAGATTTGCATTAACAGGAGGTCGGTCATCGCAGCGTTTGTTCGGACGCTGGCGATGAGGCGACAACAACAGCAGCAGCAGCTGCGGATCCCTGCCGGTGACTAAGCCTGACGCGACCGGATCCCCGCCGATGCGGCCTACATAAGTCTCATTATATTTTTGCTATAATTTTGCGTTATCGCAACACGATGCCTTCGCGTATTCATAATAACATTCCATGATCTAATTTATTGTGTATATTTTTTTTTATGCGGCGTACATATTTTTCATGTACCCCTCTTAGTAGGCTAATACATAAAGTATGATATTTTTGTAACGCGTCAACTTCGCTGTGCCAGCTGTTATGTTAAGATATTTTTTGTACTTATGAATAGAGAATAGAGTAAAAGCAAAAATAAGTTAATTTTACTTCAAGTGTAATATATGTAAACTTTGTAACTGAATGTACTCATTTCGCGTTGATGGTTTCCATTGTAAACTATCCGATGTATTATATCGCTAATGTTAAATGAATCTTCTTAGTGTAAAGCTAGCTAAATTGCGTCGTTAGCCAATGCTATTTTTCTGAATTTGCTGTATGCAAGAAATAGCTGTAATGAGCTGTATTTATATATAATGAGATGACGGATGAATGTTTGCATTTGATTTTTATATAAAATTAAAATTATATGATGACAGATTAAATTGTGTTGTTTTATTATCTGTGGCAATACAAGTCAGAATCTGATACCACAAATTAATATTATTATCTCCTCAATAGCTCAGTGGTTAAACGTATTGGCTAGCATTGCGTTAAGCGCGAGAGGTCCTTAGTTTGAATCCCGAGAAATGCAACACAGATACATGAAATTATGTAGACCATAAACCAATTTCTAGACCTCTGGTTTCCATATTAGTGTTTAGTGCCAGTTTCCTCTAAGTGCAGCATAGGACAGACATTTCTGTGCCTTTTTTACGAATCGTTTATTAAGTACTGTCTGTAGTTAATAATCGATTAGTGTGTGTCTGTAAAACGGGACATGTATGTCGACGCCGTAGTTACCATAGTTCTAATAAGAGAACTATTATTTTTGCGTTTCAAACCGTTAGAAGCACACTTAACGTTTTATTTTGATCGCGTATTTCCAAACTAGATGCCCACGTCAGGCGGTTGTGATATGGGAACTGTGGTAATTCGTACTACACTCTGTAAGTGAGCCAGTGATACTATCCCCACCACATACGTGGGTACTTACATACGTACCACCAGCCCACTATGGTGCTTCCGAAGGGCAACGATACTAAATCTGCTGGTTTAACTGTTATGCGGCGGTGCTATATGTAAAAAAAATAATTCAAAATGTCTTTCCCCTTGGTGAGAAAGCAGGACTTCCCAAACTCTCTCAGTGTTATGCAGTGTTAATCACCGTGTCCCAGGGATGAACTAACAATATAAGAAACACTGAATTATTATTTAAATAAAACATTTTAACGGTTAAAACGCGATACTGCGACCACGGCTGCTGCAAAGCATCCGAAACGTCGGGCCGTAGTTCAAAATAATTCTCCATCAAGTTTAACTAAAATATATGCGTTTTAAACCGTCAAAGTATTTTATTTAAATGTGTACTACTCGCGTAAACTACAGACAGTATTGAATTACATATTATTGTTTTTATCATTACACAGGTTTTCTTACAATTAGAACATTACAGTTATTTCAATAGTTTATTATTCATTACAACGCATTGAAATCATACGATTACACATAATGAGTTTAAAAAAAAAATCGCATGTAAAACGTGTTTTCGTTGCGCTCGTTCGCTGCTCCATTGGCCGACTGTTCCGTGTTTTGCCACGCAACATTGCGCAACTGAACCGCAGACTCCGAAACGCGCAGGTGCATTATTAATTGTACGTCTAATACAATACGTGGGGGCCATTCTCAAAAAACGATATAAGTCGCAAGTTATCAGTCGCGATATCAGTGCAGCTACCGTACGGACCTCTAACCACAACTTTGAAAAGAGCCAAGCGCGAAAAAGGGAGAGTTTGTTTTTATTACAGAAAGGACAGATCAGATCTTGCTGTCTGTCTATCCTAGCCATATAACATAATGCGCCGTCGACGTTATTTGGCTTTGGATATTCGAAACTTCACGGCCTTTTAAACTGTGGACGGTGCTTCGTTACGCTGATGGGATCTCGATATTCCTATCACACATTTAATATCCAAATTTCCAGAAGACAACATCTTTCAGAAGAATTATGAATGTATTGAAAACATGATGGACCCAATGGGAATCGAATCTACGATCGGTTGATTATTAGTTCTATATTGCTACCATTAGACCAAGGAGTCCGTCAAAGTAAGTAAATATTATAAAAGCAGTGAAACAGTTTACTTGGTGTTGGTCTACTTATGTAGGTATGTCCAATTCTAAACCAGGTCCAAAGTCTCAAGCCAACTTAAGGAGATGTTACAAGGGATGATATGTCCTAGCGTTCTATCTATAACCAGGTGTGCGTACGACTTAGTTCGCGTAGAATAGTTCTTTTGATTCGTCTAATACCAGAATATTTTTAATAAATTCGATTCTTTCAAACAAACGAACTCTCCAGCTTTATAATATTAGTATAGATGAACCTCACGCCTGACCTCTCTCATGAAAAATACGAAGAAGAAATCACTCGATCATAAATACGATGTAATTGAACATCCAATAATGTATTGCGTCAAATTGAGCGTGTTCAAGATAAAACAAGTTAAGCGGGAAATAGCTACCTACCCTAACCCGCGGTCGGTACTTGCGCAAATACATTTCCTGCTTTGTGTAGGAGTGTCATATAGCTGCGCTTAATTGAGCAACACTTCTATTATTTATAACTACAAGTTTCGACGGGGACTTCTTGGTCTAATGGTACCTGTTGATAAGGGCTAACAATCAACGCGTGGTTTCCATGGGGTTCAAAACTTTTTTATTCAACTTATAATCTTTCTGAAACATTTGTTAGTCTTCGTCTGTTTATTGGAAGTGGCAAATTTATCGAAATTTCGTTTGAGTGACGATCCACCTTCCATAGATAAAAAGGCGTGAGGTCTTAGTCGAGTCTCGTTTTAGTCTGGGTTTTTTTGAAAATCCAAGGACAAAATGGGTCAACATCTTGCTTAATTTTAAATATAACACTTTAACGGTTTTAAACGCGATATATTAGTTAAACTTATTAGAAAATGATTTTTAACTTCGGCCCGACGTTTCAGATACATTGCAGCAGCCGTGGTCACGGGGAGACTCTCCCCGCGACCACGGCTGCTGCGTTCGCGTAAACTACAGACAGTATCTTGCTTAAATGTTATACTTTGCTTATATATTTCTATCTTTAAAAAAGGTTTTGTAAATTTTGCAAACTAACTAAAAGTTTTTTTAGTTATGGTGTGGTCCGACCAAAACTGTTCGTTATTTGTTTCAGAAATTATAGACCAGGGTCGCAAATTTATTCCAGGAAATAAAGAATCGGTATCAGAAATAAACTGAATTTAATCAATCATGATGATCTTAATGTCAATCATATTTAACTGAATTTCCTATATAACAAAATATTTAATTAAAAAACCTTTCTATTGAGTACATAACAGTATGGGAATCGATAGTGGAACAATACTTTTGAGAAGTGGAAGTTATGAAGTCTGTAAGTACATCATTGTAATTATCCATTGTTAAATAAGTATCTATCAGGTAACACTTCACACGCTAAGTCGCCAATTATGATAAAGGAAGCTTTCGGAAATAATACACGCAATTGAGTATTTTTAATGTAACTTCATTTGAAATTAATAGCATCTTTATCTTGGGCGTCATATTATATACTAGATGCCCTGGCAAACTTTCTTTGTCATGTTAAGTATTTAAATTCTCATCAAAACAGTTCTTGTGAGATAATTTAAAAAAAAAATAGCCTTAAGATTTCCTCAATATAAAGACCAAACTATCCAATTGAACCATATTCATGACCTTGGAATTAAAAAAAAATAAAGTTCCTGAGATTAGCGCAATGTTTCCGGGATTCTGCTGGCGGTAGTGTTATTCTTAGTGACTCTGGCAGCTGGATTATCACTTCAAAGAGCAACGACCTACAGCAGTTAAAAATATACAAAAGTAAAATATAAAATTAAGATGGAAGAATTACAAAATAAATGAGTGAAGTACATGTATCTAAAATTTTGTTCGAAGATAAATAAATAAAAATTAAATATACTTTATTCTCTTCAAAATTTTAAAAATTCTTTAGATTCGTTAAATTTAAAATATAATTTAAGTCTTAGGGTAAGAGGGGAGACCTTGCCATGTACATACGTAGTGAAAAGGGCATTAGAAAATAATGCAGTTTTCTTAGAATATCTGGAAACGTCATCAGCCTCCGTTGCTCTGCGTGCCAGCCGCAAGGTACCTACTTGTCGATACAACGCTTATTTTGTGCCATGCTTGCCTAGTTAGTCGTCTATATCGAGCCCAGGATGTTATGCACAGTCCGTTGAGTGAGTTGACTAGAGATTTCATTTTATGAGTAAGTAAGCATCGTAGCTGCATTGGGGGTAACCCTTACAGGAATTTAGATTACTATTTTCTTTTGGAGACCCCGATAGAAGGCGGGGTGATCAGTCTACATCATTTGCTGACTATTCCACCCAGTTCCCCTTTCTGACTTTGCGAGTAGGGATATCCAAGTCTCACTGCATCCCCTTCAAATCCTCTGACTTCTTTAAAAATCTTACTATCTATTCCATCTTTAGTTCTTTGATATCATCTCCTATAAAGTTATCGCTTTCCATGTTCGTATGTCTCAGTTT